TTGATATTCGTGTTCAGCGCATCAATATTTAGTACAAAATAGACAATTGGTTGCTGAGTGTGAGACGGGAGGGAAAGTAAAAAAATACCCAAAAACTATTAATTTGCGACGGAAATGAAGTTGATATTCGTGTTCTGCACATCAATATTTAGTAGAAAATAGACAACTGGTTGCCGAGTGTGAGACGGGAGGGAAAGTAAAAAAATACCCAAAAAAGTATAAGCTTTTGCTTTTATTCAATTTTTCTGCTTTTGTCGTTCTTATTTATATTTATAGGTTTAAGATGGCCTACATTTGGCATTTGGTCCAATTTGAAAAGTGAATGGTGAACGGTTGAACAGTTTTGTGGACAGCTAATCTAGCTATTGTCTTGTGTACTTTCTTTCTGCTGGCTTGGTAGTCAATGGTAGTTAGGTTAGGTGGTGGGCCTAAATTCGGTAAATTTTTCTTTTCACTACACACAATTTATCCACTGCTTTTCAGGATCAAGTGGTCATATTTTTTTGCTGTGCAGATCATGGCCACTAAAACTGTGGCATTATTTTCAAGAAAAACTCAAATTTGATCACAAAGCACCATATTATGGGGATAAACAAGAAGGTATGCTCTTCTCCTCTTCTGTAACCCCAGATTTTTTTTCTCAGGGGGGGGGGGGACGTCCCTCTGACACTTATCCAGGTTGATCCAAGTACAAAGTGCGGATTTTAATCAAAGCTACTACGCCATATATTTAAATAGAATCTAGATCTAGAACAGAATAAAAACTAGCCTTTCCAATATATAATAAAACTATTAACTTGCGATGGATAGTCTTACGGATAAAAGTGAGCCAGAAAAGGGCATTCATGAACAAAATGGGAGCGAAAGTAAAACTTACCCCTAAATTCCAGATCATTTTAACCTCTGCTTTTCCTGAGGCTAAAATAGTAATTTTTATTCCCAAGTGTGATAAAACTATGAAATGTAAAGGGCTAAGTTCTTGTCTGGCAATCATGATCATCATGCTCGTGAGAGGAAAAGACAAAAAGAAAAAGTAGATGGAGACTTGAGTTGAGGTTTATTTGAAAGTATTGAGATTTCATTTTATTTTAAAAATACGAGTGACATTTTGCCCAATTTAGGCTTGGTCAGGAACGGAATTTAAAAAGAAGAAAGAAGACAACGGCAGCAAATATATGTGTTCACAAATATTGCTTTAAAATGTACAGTGATGCTTGCAAGCAAACTGTCTCGGAAAGACTTGAGAAAAGGAAAGCTACAGTTAGTAATAGTAATATTTTACTTGGATTCAGTGAATATTTCAAGTCATAAAATTAGGTAGAAATAAACCTATGAAATAGACTAAGATCAACAGCACACACTTCTGACAATTATTCTTCCAAGCTGCCTGAGCAGTCATCTCAGCGTAGGAACCACTACACCAATGGCCTGTGAGAAACTCTTGGGTTTTTCATGTCTCACGTAAATTCCTAATTTTATTATTTTGACCGTCCATAGTGGTCCCTTTCCAACATGGCCGGTCGGTTATTTTCAGGAAAAATTCGCCTCAAAACCTGCTCCTTCCAATTCACGGATCATTGACAAATGTTGAGCCTCTGCGTCAGGCTCAGACTGAGTCAATGCAAAGAACATTTTATGATAGAACCATTGGATGGAAATGAAATCAAAAGATATTTCTATCAGTAAGATCTCAGAGTCAGGTAGTGTAGTTTTTAAGTTTTTCTTGCTCGTGTTTTATATCAGAGCGGAGATAGGGAGCCCTTGAGGGACTTTGAACTAGGTTCCCTTCACTCCAACTGTTTCTGGACTCCCTTCTCTCCAACTGTTTCTGGACTCCCTTCACTCCAACTGTTTCTGGACTCCCTTCACTCCAACTGTTTCTGGACTCCCTTCACTCCAACTGTTTCTGGACTCC